CATAGAGGGATGTTTCACCTTTATTTCTAGGTTCAAAACTTCGCCTCTACCCCTTTCTCTTTGGGCCATTGGTAGTGGAGCCGTTCCTGGGACGTCTCCGTGGCAGGGTTGACCTCTTCAAAGGCCAACGCGGGTACCGCATTTAATGTTGTTGCGGCCAGAGTCTGTCCTGAATTGAGTGTGGACGTCAGGCCGTCCTGATGTTCCATCAGGTGTGAGGTGGGACCTCTCCCTCACTGCCTTTGAGGAGGTGAGAGTCCTCGACTTGCCCCATTATGATGATCTCGCGCCTTATCATTTCTAATAAGGCATCGTAACTAGTCGGATCTTTATTCTGTATGTCCCTCCAAAAGCGATAGTTTATGTCCAACCCCCTCTTAAGGTTGTCAAAGCTTCTCTATCGGTCACTTGCATGAAGTAGATCATTTCATCCGCAAAACAAGATAGAAAGCTTTTCAATGACTCTCATTGTTTCTGTCTCATATCTTGAAGTTACTGTATTGGCCTTTCACCTTCCTTGCTTGTTGCGAAATGTTTGAGGAAAGCATTTTTTAAGTCTAGCCAGCTTCTAATACTTCCTGCCTGAAGGCTGGTATACCATACCTCAGCCACCCCACTTAGGGTCAAGTGGAATGCTTTGCATTTCATGGTAGGAGTTGAACCCCTTAAGCTCATGTGATTTTTGAAGTTGTTGAGGTGCTTTGCAGAGTCACATCTTCCATCGTATTAGAGGATTTTTGGGTACGTGAAGTGACTTGGAACATGGGCAACCTTCATTCCCTAAGAGAAGAGCAAATTGTTATCGTCATCATCGGGGTCACGAACCTCTGTGGTTGATCGAAATCTTTATCTCTTCTGACATGAGGCTCCCTAGGTGGTTAGGACGACCCTGCTCGATTACTAGCATCTTTTGTCCTCCTCTTCACCTATTCCTAGGTAGATTTTGGAGCATGTCTCCATGGACGAATTCGCTTTGCCTTTCAAACTGGGGTCCTTGCGGCCTATTTCTAAGTACAAAGGGAGACTGAGCCTGCCTATTTCTAGGCATTCATGGGCTTAATCAGTTGAAGACGCTTGCAAATCTGTGAGGCATGTTTTCCATCTCATAATTTTGCTGAAAGTTGAATGGGACCTCGTTAGGTTGGTTAGTGGAGTAGTTGGTGGAAGTAACAACTCCAACCTCTCGTGAAAGGCTTCCTCCGAGGTATATTGTTGATGGGCCATTTGGCTTTGAACTTTCTCTTTGTGATAGTAATTTCCCTGTGGGATTTGGGGAGGATCAGGGAGGCGAGCATTCCCTTGAGCTGCATACGAAGGCATGGATGTTGTAACACCCTGAAAATTTAGAATAAAATTATTTGTTTTATAAATTTCATTTTATGATTTTTGAAAGTTGAGAGACTAAAATTCA